TAGGAGTTACAATGTTTAGAAAATATTAATGGAAAATACATAAATCAATGTATACTATCCAAATGACAAGATCGTTTTCAGTTTTTTTCACTATTACTTTTCTGTTGCACGCGACTTAACCGCGGTAATGAGAACCCAGTCATATTTGCATATTGCTATTTGAACTTTCGAATATCGACGATCGAAACATAGCCGAACAAATATAGCGGCAAATTAAGCCCGACGAAACAGACACTGTTCAAACAAAGCATCGTTCTAACAGGTATCGCAAACGTTTGCTTGAGTCGCTCCATATTCGCGTGTTCAATTTTCATTCCGCGAACCGAATCTAGTTACAACACCATTTCGGGTGGGAGTTGAAATTCAGTCTCCGTAGCGTCCTTGCTTATTCATATCGGAATGTGGAAAGCTAAGACAGGAAACTAGAGTAAGACGCCACGTAGTTACCAACGCAACAGTATAAAATTCAAAACAGTCTCTAAAATGAAACCTCTAGACTAGTAATAGGTTGGTTGCTGTGGCGTCGATGCAGTCAGTCGCCGTTCTAGTGAAAAGGTTTTGTTTAACAATCACATTGGCCTCGGCGGCTTCATTTTCTTTATTGGCTATCGCGCAGGCGATTATCTGTTGTATTTGATTGTAAGATAAGTCGCCTTTAATATCGGAGATTTGCCCGCTTCAGTAAGGACTATGCTTATTGCAAAGATCTTTTGAAATCTTTTGTTTTATCAATCACTGGCGTTTGTAATTAAATGTTTAAGGATAGTAGCGTTTCTCATTCAATTTTAAAAATAAATTATTTCTTTTGAATAGCACTCAAAATTAAATAAGTAACCAACCCTATCAACTTTTAACAGAAACCTTAACACATTGACAATTATATCAATTCACAAGCTATAGATTAGGAGACATTGAGCAATGACCTCAACATGTAAATCAGTAGCTAATTCAATGAAGGAGTTTATCTCTCACAGAGGGTATGATTCATATACGACGATTTCTCTCACTGTATACTGGTCAAGGTCGATTTCTGTGTCTGCTCGGCTGCTTTGTCTACGGCTAACTGTCTCGTACATTTGGTCGTACTTGCACCATAGGTTTAATAACCACTTTATACAGTAAGTAGAGTATAAATAGAATCTGTACAGTCTTAGTATATTAGCTCTCGCCACGTTCCTACCCGTAATACCCCTTACTCTCCTTATTTTTATTTTGTGGTTTTGATATTATCAATGTAATCCACTATTTATAACTGTTGGCCCGCTATAAAACTGAATAGTTTTTTCTAATTTTATTAAAAAGTAATTTAATAAAACTAATTTAATTAAATTAATCCAAGTATATTTTGACAGTTCGACTTTCATATTTTTTTTTATTTCCCAAACGCTTTTTTCTTTGTCACATTTCATTTTCTTTTTTCAATTTATATCAATTTCCTCTCATATCGCCGGCAATTACAATTTTTAAAAAATTAGAATAATTTGATCACAAAAATGAAAAACATCTTCTTGATTTTATTACTATAGCGAAATGCCAAATGTCTAGATACGAAGCGAAGTACGCTGTTTAATGAACGATAATATTCTGATCACCTAACATTGCTATTGTTCATTGAAATGCTACATTTAATGCGATCTATAATTATCTATGCTATTAGCTTTGTAAATAGAATGAGACCTTTTTCAATGCCAGTTTTACATTTTTACATAAGCAACTAAGTAAGTTATGAATTAGCCCCCGGGTCTCCGAAGCTATTTTAAGATTGGATACTCTGGAGGACCTGTTTGAACGTGCGCCATAAAATTTATCTGAGCATAAAGATCCTAGAATCGACAACGCCTCACAAGCAATATTAAGTATTTTATGGGTACGAATGTGTAAAATTTAGCTTATTACCACGTTATGTGATATAGTAATGGCTGTTTTGACCGTATGATTTTTTGTTATAAGTTTATTATACAAGTTACTGTAATACTCCTATTATTATGTTGAGTCTGTGTGTACATTGTATATTTTAAAAAGTATGAAAGTTTATAATAATAAACTTAACTTAAACCAATAAATAAACTTTTGATTTAACAAAATGCAACTAGTGTTATAATTTCAAATTTATCATTGTCTAAGTATTTAAAATAACTCCATTAAAACTGGATATTTTTTAAAGATTTGTTACATGTTTATAGATAAAATTTTTGATTCGTTCAATTATAGATAAAGGTTAAAAAAAACTATCAAAAAAATATTACCGGTTGCGTAATCAAGTTCTGACCACATTGTCATGACATTAAGACAAATATGATATCACTAAGTAGTTCATAGAAAATCAGATTAAATGTTAAGTCAATTTGATCGGAATGATTACGTCATTGGAGTTTCCTCCTGCACTTGACCTGAACTTAGTGTTAAATTTTGTAACCTTTTTTGATAAAAATTAAAACATTGACTATATGCATGTTGCATAATTATTTTCTTGACGAAATAAATTGTTGCAATTCTCAGACTATCCGATTTTAATATCTATTAATTTATTTTTATGATGTTCTTTTTATATAATGTTAACTTCATAGATATTTAATTATATTTGTTTCATCCCGCGGAAATTATTCCCTATATCTCTGATAAGCCCCTTTTAGCCATCTTTTATTTCATCTGTATTTACTTTTACTCTTATAGGGAAAAAATGCTATTTATAATTTAATTGACATCTAATGCCAATTCTCTTACAAACGTGTTTGCTTTCGCTTTATCCTCATCTTGGGCAATTCAGTTTGTTATTTTACCTGCTCGTCATACTTAACAACCGCTGTCGTTAAATAGATCTTATCGTATGATTTAAACGAATCAATTCACTGAGCGTAAGTCAAGAGCCTTCGCAGGAGTCGGCTCTTAGTGTCTATGACCCTAAGGACGCCCTTACAACGTGACTAGGCCTGAGGTTGTACGCTCTCTCCGTGATATATTTTTATGGTTATTGCGGCATTGGTCCTGATAATTTTCCTTTATTGCAATTTTATCACCTCTGATCGATGTTAAGCAACGAAGATTAGGAAACCAGCTACTGCGGATATGCTTAATCTTTCTGTAACATGTCCTCTTTTGAATTTTACAATCTTTCATTTGAATAAAATAAAATTGAGCAAGGTGCATATTGATTAAATTAATTTAACTAGTGGATTGTAAAGATTTTGGCCAAAAGTTTTAGTCTATTTCGTCCGCAGCCATGGTTATAATACATTATTTAATATTTTCATAACGTTTATATTAAACAAAAAGTAATATAAAGTCTAAAGATGCATTGTGTCGGTACAATCATCATTAATTTATTATGGAAGTTCCACCGGGCCGATATTACGAAACAATTTAATAAACAACCATAATCGCTTCGCAATCGACGGCTTATCGTCACGAACGCTAAAAAAAATTCCATTCGGTTAACTATAGCAGTTTAACTCTTTGAGCAATCGCTCATTATCAACGAGTTTTAATCATCCGAAACGCCTTCATAGTGTTGTTGTTAATCTTTTTCAATATTCGGTTGAAATATCCTCCGGGAACCGAGGCGACGTATGCAACTCGGTAACACTAGTAAGGGCCTCGCGTGTACTTTACCGTGTTATTTCGTGCAACACTTGGCGCTATTGTTGGCCCGCGTGTTGCGACATGCTGTCCTAGCTAGGAGTCGCTTCGCTACGCTCCCAATTTCACATTTCGTGCCGACCTTGTACAAGCGTTGTTTACAACCCGGCCACTGTTTCCACGCAATAATAACGTTGCCTCTCCGACTGGTTGCGTGCGTGCGACATCTTTTTGGTTGTTAGCTCAGCATTATCAGTGGTTTATCTCCACCCAGTCGTTTCTTTTGTTTCTCACCACCGTGGTTATTATGCTGTTGTGACGGCGTCAGACCCCAGTTTTAAATTACGTATATAATACTAAATAAAACTATGTTTACGGATTTATCGCGTTTACTTTTGGTTTTAATTGCCGACGCTTCAAACCCTTTACAGCGTTCATGGTTACGAGACAGACAAGGGAATAAATCCGTAAACATAGTTTCATTTAGTAATGTGTAATCGCGTAAATACAAGGAATTATTACGTATATAGTGTTTAGCAGATATGTCATATCAGGCTTATTCACATCCTTTCCTTAAACAACCGATCTTTTGTAGGAATTGACACTGGACGTTATAAAATGTTCCTTTCAAGCAAAGATGTACGTCAGGGCTGCATCGTCTTTCGAACCACAGTCTTATACGCTGTTGCGCTATCGAGATTAATGCAATAATGTGGCACTCGTTCGTGTTTATCATTTCGAAACTGCAGAAATCGGAGACAGCAGATCTACTCCGAATAACGAAAAAGCACGCATCGTTACGTCTATATAATCTGAACTATTTAGATTCCGATTACACTTTCGGTGTTTGTATTTCTTGTTAATCGATTCATTGAGTCACAATCCTAAACAATATCAGAATGATTGGAATCGAAATGTTTTCGAGTAAATTTTGGATTAAAGGGAGCTTAAGTACTGACTTAACGCGTGCAACGTCGGCAACGAAGGAAAATGTCTTGAGAAACCTGAGAAAACTTTTCGAAATAATAAGGAAAAAAATATTTTCAAATGTGAAGTCTGCAGATCCGCAGTGTGGTCGCAAGGTAGACTATGCCCTCTTTACAGCGACCTTTACCCAATAGTTGAACATTATATGTTGTTACTTTACTTGTACTTTAATCCTTCGGGTAACGAATCTTCGACTGTGCGGGTTTCTCGTGTTTGAAGTGGCCACTTCAATGAGCTGTCCCCTTTTGTCGCGGCGAACGAACGCCAATTGAATGCAAAACAAGCCATTCATTCGTAGCCGTTGAGTCACAGCCGCCCCGCTTTCTGGACTCTGCGCTTTCGACGTAAGCTCCACCCGTCCCCGTACACCCGTCAGCGGTGGTTGCGCATCGTGCCCGCCCCCTTTGTAGTAGCTGATTGTCGTGCTTTCGTTGCAGATGGTACTTCCGCAAGATAAAGCGCATCGAAGCCGAGAAAAAACTGCTACTGCCGGAGAACGAGCACGGCGCTTTCCTTATCCGCGATTCGGAGAGCCGCCACAACGACTTCTCGCTATCAGGTAAAGAGATCGTTCAGCCTTTTATTGAATACTAGCGACCCGCCCCGGCTTCGCACGGGTTTAATGTATTTATACATAGAAACCTTGAATCACTCTATCTAGTAAAAAAAACCGCATACATAGGGACAGACAGAAAGAGCGGGACGACTTGGTATAATACCATGTAATGAAGTGTTAAAAATTAAATAAATGCTCTGTTAACTTTTATTTCAATCAAATCTGGTATGCGAAAATATATGACGATAAACGCACTGTTTCAGTTAAAAAAACTATTTATTCCTGCCTTTAAACCACTCACATAGTACCTACCTACTTAGTTGAAAAAAAATTGTTAGTGTACTACGACGTTCTCTATTAAAATGCAATGTTTCCATATACCCATAAGTAACCCACCTAATCATGCTACATATCTGTAAATGAGATATAAGTATAACAGTACTATTAAAAAGTAATATGTAATCCTCACAGTTTCATCGTGATAGTAGTTTAACGATAAAGATTTTGATTAAATCAATTTGCCTATTTTAAAATCAACGTTGACTTATTATTATTCGCAATAATAAAACTTTTGGAATTGCAAATGTTCAACGTCTTAAACTAATTTTCATTAGCATAGGTCGAATGTAACTTTGACGTCTCTCTCGACGGCAACAATGACAGGCGTTTCGCTAGAGTTATTATTTCGTCTATGAATATACATAACTATAATATGTCCCGTTTTATTTGATTACATGAAAAATATGGTTTTATTACTTTAGTTCTCTGTACGCAGACATTTTAAAAAAGCTTTGTCTAATCAATTGATATGGAGACTTAATGCTATATTTCTTCTACATCCATATACAGAATGCATAATTAGTTTTAATGACGTCACGTATCATGCTATAGTTATAATATCATTCGATATGAAAAGTACAGCGACTTAAAAAACGCAATGATAAAATTAATTACGATTTGTCAGCTTTTTTTATTATCTAGTATTTACGATTGTTCATATTTAATTAAAAGTAATTATACTATTAGCTGTATTTGGAAAATGTTAATCGACACCGTAAATTATTAGAATAAGCTCTAAAGCGATAAATGCTTAGCGATTTTATTTTTCTGAATTTTATAAACAAAAACATTAGGATCGAGGAGTCAGGCAACAGGAAAAGTTTGGAACGGCCAGTAAGCTTGGTGAACGATGTAGACGGCGCTGGTTAGTTACAAATAAAATTGTGCTAACCATCCTAATAGAGAACCCGTCTTTGGATGCGCCTCGAAGATTCGATCCCGATGCTAAACCGGTTGATGTTTTTCTAAGGCCCCTGGATGTGGCGCCGGTGCCGTGGGAACAAAGCGACGTCGCTCGACTCCGGCTCGAACCCATCCATACGGCTATCTTTCTTATTTATGTAGTCCTAGTACCGTAGATCTTTAATTACAGGACCGTCTGTCTAGTTTTTCTTATATTAGTAACGCTATTTATTTTTAAATCTAAAACTGACAAAACAAATATCGCCATCATTTTACATTCTCAGTAGTTTCCTGGTTTATCCTTTGTAACCAAGCTAAATGGAACAATGCAAAAACGATTTTTAAAATCGGCTCGGTTAATATGTAACAAACATAAAAAAATACAACCGAAACGACTCATCCTTTTTGAAGTCGGTTCAAAGATTGTGTAAACAATTGCAATAAACCAGGGTTTGTGTTAATACGGTAGATGTTTGGTGAAAGAAAGCCGAATTTCTAGTATGTGGAATTATGAAATATCTATATATGCCTTTATGTTTAGAATCAATGTTACTAGTCAATATTTACATATAATTACTTAATATCTCCACAGGTTTTTTTAATGTTTTCCTTGTTGTGCACCATTTTTGAGTAAGTAATTGCTTCCGGCAAGAATTGTTCCCGTTCCCTTGTGTCCCTTCTTCGGTTTGCACTAAAAAATGCGTGGTGTCAGTACACACTTGGTGCATACGCATTGGTATGTTTATTTAGAATTAATATCTCCCCGCATAGACAGATTATAAATACTTTATTCTTAAAAGAATAGTAGACGTGGGCGACCACGGACTGACGTCACCGAATCAATGTTCAACGCCACCATTGTTCTAAGAATAACCGGAACAATCAAGTTGACACGTGGCTTTAATATAATGTTTTTTTTTTGCGAAGTGATCAGTTGGGCCCCTATAAGAAGATGTGTCTTCGAATATAAAGACGCTACTTTTGTGACCTTTGCACTCAAAGTAGAATTTATCCGTCTAGCTACATCGAAATTTGTCCGTACAGTCACTAACAATAATTAACTTTACTTGAGTCGCTTACTTTCAAATCTTAATGTAGAAATTCGTCCAATTTCTGCCTCATTGCCATTCAATAAATCGCCACTTTATTCTGCAATCCAAGGCTCTTTAGTAAAAATTACGGAAATGCGTTCATAATCTCACAACAGCAACGCCAAGCAATTTGTACATTGCCATTTTAATTTCTAAATATGGGTATGCTCCACAGTAAGTTTGCCATTTTAATTGCTATATGGGTATGCTTTACTAAACTTCACGTAAGTAAAGCGTATCTTTGTATCGTTAATTTTAATAGCATATCGTTAATTCCATAAAAATACACTAAATTTATATAGAAATAATAAAATATATCAGTTATTCGAAGTATGGTGTTAGATGTAAACGGTACTTTTGTTACGGTTATATTTTTATTGTTCCCGGTAATTGCGTAACAGCTTACCCAAACCCGTGGCTTCTGGCTATACCACCGGTTCTGCGTCAGATGAAGCTTTAATAGTCTCGGGACTGAAAGCACAAACATCATTTAATACAAGTCACAAGTAACAGTTTTTTATATTTAAAATTGCCAATAACTGAAATCGTTGCAAAAAGGGTGGGTCAGTAAATAATAATGATCTTCTAAGATCATACGAAAACGGTAATCTATTATTACCTTTATGGGATATGCGTTAATTTTATTTAAATTACAGTTAAATAAGCAGCAGTGCATCGAGCGCGCAATTACAACAATTTCAATACCCATCACCGTAAAACACGCTCAAGTCAATAATCGTATAATTTCTTTAATTGAGCAATATTTTACCATTTACAGTGACAATGAATGAATGTTGACTTAATGCGATGCTAAAGGTTTATTGCGTCCATAACTCTAAAGCGTGTACCGCTCACCCCGTGTTCGACCATTAAATTCCCCGTGCGCATGACAAAAGGGCTATACATAAAATCGTCCGGCTGCTTTCACGTTTAATGAAAACGGTTTCTATCACTGCGCGTCCGACTTGGCTGCGACAGGAGATGGAACATGGACCATTTGTTACATTCAATAGAATGGTTCAACTTCTGTTCTTTATCCGTTCCTCCCGCAAGCGCATTAATGTTTACTATTCAGTCGCATTAAGTTGTGAAACTTGGGATCTCAATCTGAGACTCGGGCGATTTACAAGTTTATTAATAATGAGTACTGTTCGTCTCGTCGAATAATCGCACTTAAGAACTTATCATGTCCTAATAAATTCGTTCATTATTATTTGATATCACTATATACTTAACGTATAAAAATTTTCAGATACCAGGATGAAGGTAGGGAAAAATATTAACTGTTACAAAATTGAGCTAAAGCTCGTTAATAGCTACAAATAAATCAGTTGCGAAATACATGAAAAGAGTTGAAGAAGTAAAGCTTATTTATGTATAGATGTTGAATTTGAACTAACAGTTGCAATCCTTTTTCAGTGCAAACTTATATAAAAACTAAACATTTTTAAAAATACATGTTTCAATGTTGTTAAAGCAATAAAAAGTGAGTGCAATAAAAAAAGTAAAAGAAGCTAAATTTCTTAATCATGACGCTGTGTAACAACAGACTGATAATTTGAGAAGACAGACAGTCTTTCTCTGTATACAAAAACAATGGTGACACAGTTATTTTTGCACGTTTAGTTTCAATGGCCACTGTGATAAGAACCTTAAGATCGCGCACCGACTTACCCAACTCGGCTTATCTGAATAAAATAAATATAAATTAATAATACAGTAGAAATTAGAAATTAAAAAGAATTTAAAGCAAATAAAATATCTGAAATATATAAATGTTTCGTGTATATACGTTCTGTTATTTTAATATAAAGTAAATGTAAAAAAGGACACAAAGTTTGACTGCTATTTTATATGTTAGAAAATGCTAAGCAAGCTGTTCACCTGATATTAAGTGATAACCGAAGCCCGCCATTTGCAACAGCCGTAGGTTTGCAGACGCGTTGCCACCTTTTAACAAAGTGAGCCCCGGCTACCTCACTTACCAGACGAAACGCAGGTGCATAACACTTCCACTTCGGTCTCTCTTCGCCGGTCTTCTGTGAGGTCGTCGTATTCGCCAAAATGGACCTAACAGCCATTCGTGCAACAGCGAATACTGTTGCGTGTCCCTACCACAGTTGCTAAAGATTGCTCAACTTCAAAATATATTTCAACTATGCCGCATTGTACAAATTATTTTTAACTTATCTTTTATTTCTATCCTTTTTATGGTGTCTGCCTTAAGTTATACATTATTATTTGATGTAAAAAATATAAATCAATCGACATTCATTGAAACACATTCTTAGCTTTTATTATGCAATCCGTAGCCGTTGGCATATCTTTCACAGAATGAAAACGCTAATCGTTTATCAATTTAAACACTAAACGGGTTATGTAAAACTCTCTTAGTCTGACGTGTGTTTATTTAATACAGCTTCTTAGGAAAATACACCCACGTCATGTTACAACGTGGAAGTATGTTTTATTTAGTGCATTTCGTCTGAACTTGCGTCAGTTTGCGTGACCATCTTTGAACGTATTCGAATAAATATTTGTTCGAATAGTTCTTTCTTTATATTTCATAACAATGTGAACACGAAAGACAGAGGAAATGACGTATATATAATTATCTAGTTTTTTTAGGCCTTTATTTTACATTATCCATCGGGACATTGGAAAATCTGT